ACATAGCATCCTTGGAATGCCTATCCTATTTTCCATTACTTCACGCAACCAAGTTTTTAATATGTTCTTGGCTGTCCTCTCTTCTCTAGGGATCTAGTCTACCCATTTCACTCAGAGCTTAGCCCAAAGTCCTGCCTCCACAATATCACATTGCTTTCTTGGTTTCCCCAAAATTTATCAGGTGAAATCTTCAACATTTTATAGCCCTCATTTCTACCCCTCTTTCTTAACTCTGACGTCACAGCCTTGCTAGGAGGGTTCACCGATAGCGCTTCACTAAAGCTCTGTTTCCTCCGTGGTGCTTCTGTCTGCTACACTCTGCAGCTATTCACACTCCACTCGAGTCCCTCGGGGTAATGGGGTGGTGTGGAGTCGGAGAGTCCACAGGAGCTACCAGGGACAGCTCCCAACAGTGAATTCTCACACAAGGCAAAGGACCGGTGCTGACAGCTACTGAGGCTCCCGGGAGGGAGTGGCACTAGAGCTGGTGATAAAAGACTTCGGAGGACCTTTTGGGTGGAGAAGGAAGAGATGGCACCCCAGGCTGAGAGGGGGGAGCACCCGTCCCTGACCTCGTCCCTAGAATGAAGTACCTGTGGTGTTCCAGGCATTGACAAAGGAAAAGTAAATGAAAACACTTTCTTGGAGTATTCTCTTCACTCTGGGTTGTAGATGAGTAACCTGATCTATTTCATAAATCACACCCGGTTCTCTGCTGAGATTCCACTCAAGAAGGTATGTCAGAATGCAAGCAAGCAAGCTTGCTATTTCCCCAGGTAAGACCCCACGTGGGTCCGATTTAGAAGCGTCAATCATGTGAAAAGGTCAGTCTCTTAATCATTAGGAATGACCCAGCGACACAGCACAGAGGTGATTGGCACAGAGCAGTGAGCAACCTGAAGCTGGCAGGCATGGGAAGGATTATTAACTCCCAAAGCCGGTGGCCTCTTTCAAAAACAAACTGCCACCCTAGCCGGTTTCGCCCAGTGGATAGAGCTTCAGCCCTCGGAATGAAGAGTCCCAGGTTCAATTCCGGAAAAGAGCACGTACCTCCGTTGCAGTTACAGGCTTGCCCCCTGGCCCTCGTGGGGGCTTATGTGGGAGGCACCCAATTGATTGATGTTTCTCTCTCTCGCCCCCTCCCTTCCACTCTCTTTAAAAGTCAATGGAAAACATCCTTGGGTAAGAACTAACCAAAAACAAAAACAAATTGCCGTAGCAGGCCCCAGGCAATGTGTAATGAGTGTTTGCTGGGGAGCTGGTTGCCTTTAACTTCCATTCTTCTGCAGGAGCCCAGTGTGGGTTCTGAAGGGGGAGAGGGGGCACATGTGGACCACACTTTTGTCCCAAAATAAGGTGGAAAACAGTGAATCTGACAAGAGCTCAGAGATGGCACTTTGAAACGTTAATGCATGTGTTTCATTATGATAAAGTTATAATTGTGGTTTGGGGGTAACAGTTGTACTTGTTTCTCCAAAGCTCTTCAGTGCTCCTACACGAGGCGCTGCTTTAAGGACTGACGGTATGGGAATGCGGTCACGCAGCCAGACCAGCACCCAGTGCCCCGCTCCAGACCCAGCTCAGCGCAT